ACCTATCACCGTCTTATATCAACCCTTATCATCGTCTATATCAACCCTATCATCGTCTAATCAACGCTAACACACGCACGCTACACACACACACAACACATACACACACACACACTCACACACACACACACACCACACACAAACCACACACACACCAACGCACACACACACACGCGGCGCGCGCGCACCACACACCACACACAGCACACACACGCTCGCGCGCGCACGACACGCACAGCACACCACAACACACCCACACACAGCGCCCACACACCCACACAACACACACGACACGCCGCAGCACACACACACACACACGCGCAGCGCACACAGCAACACACACACACACATACACACACGCACGCACGCACGCACACACACGCGCGCGCGCGCGCGCTCACACACACACACTCACACACACACGCACGCACACACGCACGCACGCACACACACAAGCGCATGCACGCTCATCTCGATCTCATTTCATCTCAAGTTTCGAACCAAACATCCATTTTCATCGTGTGCTTCATCGTGCGCTTTGCGGGACAATCGTGGGTTTTATCGAGTTATCTTCAAATGGCTACGTTTGCTAAACTCAACGATTGACGATGGTACGCTAATTTAAGTTCGGTGAATTTGCAGAGTGCAGTATACGAACGGCGTAGCGTGTTGCGTGGGTATATACTAGCGACTACTGAAGTCTGTACGCTAAAAACGCGGTACTGGAAATCATAACTGCGCTGAAGGAGTGTAGTGCCAACAAGAATCTGATTGGTTTGTGATGACAAGTCGCTTTGCTTGGAATTCCCCAGTTTCTTAAGGAAATAAGCGAGTCCTAGTTAGGTGTTAGAGGCGCGGGTTAGAATTTAATATGATTGTCTAATGAATTCCTAAACAGTAAAATAAACGAGGATGATTTTTTACCCATTAATTTCAAGGCATGAAACCTCGTCAGTCCTCGGAATTCGCGAGGGGGGGGGCGCTGCGCCGAGCACTCCCTACAAGAATGTCAGAGCTTCGCAGACGATAAAAGCCAGTCAGCGAGAGTTAGTTCTATCTATGGCTCCTACCGACATCCTATTCCATTACGCAAGAGTAGATAACGCAAAGTGGAGCCAACTGAGGAGCTTCGAAATTAACTTACGTAATTCGAACTAAAGCTTTGGCTGTGGCAGACGTTCGGTATTCTTACCATGGCGTCTTGACAATTGCTCCACAGTTAACAGGCGACCGGGGGAGGCGAGACCGACACTGCAGCAGTACCAGTGTATAGTATTCTCTCATGACTCTAGAATCTCGTGAGACTAGGCCAAGCAGGATACGTGAAGTGCGCGTTCTGTTTATGTGTAATATATTAAGTTAGTCCCGTGGCGTAAACTGTGTGTAACTCTTTGCCAGCTACAGTGCCTCTCTGTGGCGCGCTCTCTCTCTCGCGCTCTCTTTCTCTCTCTCTCTCTCTCTCTCTCTCT